CCAAAGCGACCGTTGAGGAAGAAAAATATTTAGTGACAGTCCCTATGTATCGATGGGGTGGTACCCGTTATTAGGGTTCTTATTAACCCAGCATATGGAGTAGAAGGGCGATTTTCAGATACCAATCGAGAGGGCCATTCTCTCTCGTTTTCTCTCCGTGTCGGTGATCGCGCGCAAAGATACCGCAGTTTGTAGTAACAGGTCCTGTTTCAAGGGATTACAAATAGATTTAATCTTTATCGGTGATCTTTTGCTTTTTATCGACCGGAATGCAAATGCTCCCGATTCGTAAGATGAAACTTAAAAAGAATCGAGCAAACCTAGTTTTGTGTAACGTTACACCTTGATTGCTCGATATAAAATCATTTCATATGGTTTTGAATATTATTGATTCCCCGTTATAAAACTCAATATAACCCAATGCACTCCAATCTTGAAACGTTTCCTATATCAATGAAATCTGATATTACTTCATTTTTCGATACATATATTAAAATTCCTTTTAAAAAGCTCGTACTAAAAAGATAATATTAGTAAAAGAAAATGAAACTTTATAGAATGAATTGTCTTGTATTAAAAAAATGCTTATCGATAATTACTTACTATTTTTTTTTTCCTTTCTTTGAAACAAAAATCAATCCGTTTATCATAGAGTTCAAGGGTAGAACAGTTAACGCGTTAGTTCACCTGATTTGGAGACTTAATGAGCCCGTTGACACTTTGATGCAGGGTGTCCCGCGTGTCGCCAGGGAATTGCCAGTTCAATAATTCAGAGGCTGGCCGTAATGGAACTTGTCCGCGGGACTCGATCTATCATAGGAAATTGCACGAAGCCCTTTTACCGGCGCACATAAGAAACATACATATTAGAAGAATAACAGCGGGTTAGCTCGTAACCTCGTGTGTCTGTCGTTTCGTTCCGAGAATTGATTAGAACCTGGAAATAAATCGTGCGTGTGTGTATGGGTGAAATTTCATCGGCACATGTGTAACGTAACATGCACCTTCGGCGAAAATCTTCGCTTACCTTTCTATAATAATTTTAAAAAATAATTAAAAGATTGAAAATATAACGAAATTTCGTTAGAACGTTCATAAAAATTCATTCGAATTGCTGGATGATAGCTGGATGATCGTCGTTAATTAATCTTCGTCCATTTAATTGATTGACGAAAATCTTGACGTATCCTGAAAATGAGGAAGATGGTTAAAATCATGGAGAAATTTCGTGCTGGATGATAGCTGGATGATCGTCGTTAATTAATCTTCGTCCATTTAACTCGTTGATTGACGAAAATCTATCCTGAAACTCGAGAAGATGGTTAAAATCGTGGAGAAATTTTATAGAAGAAAAAAAAAAAAAAGAAAAGAAAAAAAATAGGCAACGCGTTGGAGATTAGAGAAATGTCCGAAAATTCATCGAATTTCCTTGTGACGGCCGTAGCTGGATGACCGTTGTTAATTAGCCGTCGATCCATTTAACTCGTTGACTGGCGCGACACGATTATATTTCGCGCTTAACGAGCATCCGATTAATATATTAATGACAATCAGAGAGGACTTTGGGTATGGTTGATGGCCGCGCGAGGAGTGTGACAAGCGGGGTTGATTAATTGGTGCACTCGTTCCGAGAGCAGGACCGGTTTCGGGATAATCGTCGATTCCGTTTGTGCGGAATTTTTCCGGAAGCTCTGAGCTCGTTCCATCTGTTCGAAACGCGGTGGAACTCTCCGCGCAGCTTCGACTAGCGGCCTCTCGCCGTCCGTCGGTTGCGAGAAACGCTCCACGTCAAAAGCAAAGCTCAGAGGCAATCATGAGCTTTCGAATGCAAAACAGCAGCTTTCGCCTAGCAGCACTCGGCACTTTTACATTTAAATGTAAACTCGCTGAGTGCGCGCCGCAGAGCCACCCTCGCCATATCCTCTCCCCCATCTAGCAACGGACCCCTTCTCGACCCCCCTTTCCCCCTCCTCCGCACATCCTGCACCCCTATCCGCGCACCGTTTCCATCCGCCTCCTCCTCCTCCTCCTCCTCCTCCGTCTCTTTCGAGGACGTAGGCGATATGGCGGAGGCGCCTGGATTTAATCTTTTACACCTCAAATGTTGGGCGCGCGCGCGCGCGCGAGCCAGAAATGCAAAACAGCTCGCCGAGTATCCCTCGGAGCTGCCCCCTCCGCCGCCATCCATAACGATTCCCTTCCCCTTTCGGCTTAGATTGGATTTAAAACGCGCTAATTTGTCGAGCACAACACGCTCGCGTGTCTTCCACTGTCCGTGTGCACAGTTCCTTGTGCAGTCGGGGCTCTGCGTACCGCGGGGCTTTGCGACGGGGGTGTGTGTGCGTGTAGAGAGAGAGAGAGAGAGAGAGAGAGTGAGAGGCGTGTGGGCACGGTGGGCCACATCTAAATTTAAAATCTGCTTTGCATAATGCCCGACCTCGTCGTTGCACGTCGACCCCGGGGCCGCCTAATTGCGGCCTCGTTCGAGCCCCGTGTCCCTTCGACACCTACAGCAGCCATTCTCGAAAAACCGGCTCCTTCCGCCCACCATCCCTCTCGCTCGCTTCCGCCACTTTGAATCGACCGACCAGATAACCGGACACCGTACCCCTCGTTCTCTTTTTCCTGCTCATCGATCTAACGTTTTCTACGAAGATCGATCTTGGATCACTTTGTGAACGACAGCAGGGTGTGCGTTCCAGGGAAATTACAGGGAAATTGATTCGAGGAGAAGATTCTTCAGGGCTGTTCGAAGATGCACGTTGAGAAAATTTAAATTAGATTTGTTTTTTTTAAATGGATTACCAGGTTTTTTTTATTAATTTCATTCTTTACCTTTGCTGATTTATATGATGTGAACTTTAGAGATAAAAATGTCTGAGAAAAGCGAAAAGATGTTTACACGAAACACGTGATCACGTGCGTATAAATTTTCATCCCTCGTCCACTAATACAGCCATCGTGTATTGTCCAAGAAACTTGGTCACGGTGGTCACGGGGTAGATTCTCTCTCTCTGTATCGTGTTTAATGTAGTATTAAACGCAGTTATTGTGCTACGTCGTCCATCGTGTTCACAAATTTATTTCCGCCGCTCCCCGTTGTCCATCCATCTTTCAGAAAAGGGAAAAAAGGACGAGCACGTGCCGCCCCCGTTTCGATGCAAAGAAATTCGAAAAGAATGCGATTTCCCGCCTTTGTTCGTTTCCCGAATAATATTCATTGATTCATGCTCCTGAACTTCTGAAAGAGAAAGGAAAAAAAGAAAAATTATTTCAAGTAAATCGATCGAAATTTGTAAAATTTTTATTAATTAAAATAATCGATCGTTTAATAATTAAAATAACTTATCTCTCTTTTAAGAATCTTTTAATTCATTCTGGACAAAAATAAGAATACATCCATAAGAGATCTATTAAATATTAATTCTTTTATATAAAATCTTTTATATAAAAACAAGATATATTAAATCAAAAGAGAATAAATATATTCGGAAGAGTGCATGCCTCTTACTGTCGTTACTTGCCAGTTTCCTGTGATAACCCCACCATTATACTCGTAGCCCCTGAATAACAGGGGAAGAGAGTTCACAATGGGCCACAATGACTGAGCCAACATTACGAATTAGGCTCGGTTACGCGTTTATTGCCGATTCCGGTCCAGGGCAGCGGCGTCGAATCGTATTTTCCAAACTGTCCGATTAAACGAGCGATAGCACGAGGTACGCGATCGCGAAAGGACGCCACTGCGGAGATGCGAAGTATTAGCATTGGTTAGCTTTATGGGGCGTTCAGTTCCGCCGTTCTATCATCCTCTCTTTCGCTCCTGTTCCGTTCCTCTTTTTGCCCTCTCGCTCCTTCCAATTCTCGTTCGGGAGCAGAGCACGAACAGCGGCAGATCAATAAAATCTGTCTGTCTGGAAAAGTAATGCCAAATCGACTGTCCGTTTTTGGCGGCGAACAAATAAATGTCACAAAAGGAGTGGAACCGTTCCTCGTACCGACCACTCCGTACCGGCTCCCTCAGACGGTTTAAAGATTCGACTCACCACTGCCTCTATTTGCCAAAATATCGAATGGAATCTGTGGATCTCGCGGCAAAGGGGAGATAGGTCCATTTTTGACAGTTCTTCAATGATTTCACATGGTACCTAAAAAATGTTAAATCGTGTAAGATGGAATAAAAATGCAACATCTCTCTTGTGTCTAAACTAACTTTTGATTAAGGGAATAATGATAAATTTGTTTCTTGATATTTTAATATCAAATCAGGGAAACAAAAAATTTGAAAAATTTGTTAAAAATTGAAACAAACATTTATCGATTAGTGTTTTCTTTTCAATAATTATGTCAAAGTAAAATAACGTTCGGAATGACGAATGATAATTTTCGAATTAAAAATTATCCTTATAGATAACTTATGAATCGGAGGAAAGATATCACTGTACGAGTTCGAATAACTTAACATTGATGAAAGAATTTATTTTTTTGGCGATTAGATGACTAGCGAGTCTAGAGACTATGCCACGAGTATCGAAACTGGGACGCAATAATTATTAATCAATTTCGTATTAATTGTTTTCTAGGCGTCGAGCTTAAGTGGGATGTTGTGTTCTGGCTTCTGGCAAGCTTTGCCCCGAAACCAGCCAAAGTGTCATACAAGAAGATTAATTACATCTCCACCACCCTTTATGTACGTCATGCGTGTGACTACCCTTCTCCTTAACCCTTGGATACTCGTAAAAGTATTTCAACTTGTGCGAAGATATCGAGAAAAATAAAGTGAACGGTGAAAAACTATCTCTTTTCGAATTAATATTCGATAAATATCTACTCATCCTTCGAATAAGCATCATTCTTTCATTCGATTGTTAAGAAAAAAAAAAATTACGAAATATAGAAAAAATAATTCTTTCGAATGATTTAAACTTGAATTCGAATAATTACCCTTAAGAAGTACGTATCTACTCTCTTTACGGAGAGTTTCTTTTTCGTGATTGGACCAGTGGTTGGTGAAAAAAAAGGGGTACACGAAAATAAAAGAGACTCGAGGGAATAAGATTTCGACGGTACTCCGTTCTCGATCCACGAAAGAGCCAAGTTAGTTTTATTTTACAATCCATCGGCTTCCACGACACGGAGGGGTGAGTTTCGCTGGTACGCCCGGTCTAAGAACGAGAGAGAGACGTCGAATGGTGGTTGGATTCCTTCTGGATGGTTGGACGAGTGTCGAGGAGGGTGCACAAGTTGCGAGGGGGTGGACTCGGCTGTCAACTAGTGTTTTAAAAGTTTGCGACAGCTTACAAATTGGCTCGCTCAGTTCTTTTTAAAAGCACCGCCAACCAACCACGTCGCGTACCCCACCGTGTGTGTCCTTCATGCTTGCAGTCGTTGAACGAAAAGTTTTTTCCAATTTCTAGAAGATAAATTTCAATATATAATATCATATTATAGATAAACTTATGTGTTATGATTAATATATTACATAAAGTGTTAATATTTATGCAAAAATTGGTATCTCTAATATGCAAAAAAAAATATTTATAAAATATACTGATTACAAAATAAAATTCTCTTTAATACTCAAATCTCATTACTCATTATCTCTTCTCTATAAAAGATACATAAATACAGTTACATAAATATCAATCTATCTGTACACGTTATGTTCACATATAATTATCAAGAATTTGAGAGAAATTTGCACGATGGAAAATTGTAAAAATCACGTGCATTGATGCTTTACTTTTAGACGAACGCAAATGATCGGCTAGGATGAAATGAAACGCCCCAAATAAATCGTGGGAAGGGGCTTTTTCCATCAGCCATTGTACCCTCGATCATTATTCTCAGGAGTTTCGCGAAAAGTTCCGACCATTTTCGGACAAATCGACTTCCATCTAGGAGACGCCGGTCCCTATATAGGGAATATGCTTACGCGCGATTCAAATCCCGGAAGTTTAAAAGTATTTCGACGTAAAACGTGGCCATTTCTCATATTTTCTATGCAGCCACGCTCCGTCGTGGGCGCATTTGATACACTCTATTAGTCGCATCCCTGGCCTGATTTATCGGTTTACCCGCATTATTATACATTTTCCTCGTAACGGGACCCGAGATTCATCGTATTCTGGTACTTTGCCTATTCTGCGCACATTATTACATATTCCATTAGTCTACTAGCGACAGATCAATGGTTATTATGCGGATTTAAGAATCGAATCTTCTCCAGTAACGAAGATCTTTCTAAGAAGATGATAAAAAAGAGTGATGATCATACGAATTTTTTTTATTATAGAACAAGTTATTATGGATTGGCAACGTGTTATAATGTATCGCGAAAGTGATGATTTTATAAGATATAATGAATGACTTATGAATGAATTATGATATTCGAACTTTTATTAACTTTTGTGGAAATTTTTTATTAAGTTTTTGTGATCGAGAGGTCTTCCAAGGTCTTTATTAACTTTTTTGTAAATTAAAAACATAATTATTGTTATTATTGGCGAACTATGAATCTAACAAATTCAGAGAAGAGAAAACTTCATGGAAAAACTATAAACTATTTGTCGAAAGTTTCAAATTTTGAAAATTTTCAAAATCTTATATGTAGACAGATTCAGATTCGAGTTTCGTTAATCAGAAATCAAATCTCAATCCATCTAATCAAAATGTTATAAATAAATAGATTATTATTAGAGATGCTTAACTTATGATACATGAATAAATTATTTAAATAATTTGATTATATTGTAGCTTACATATAATCGAGTTTCTCCATGTTTCTCCAAGAAGCAGAAGGAAATGATGGCCAGTTTTGTCCGTAATCATTATTAACTTTCATCATTGATGTCATTTGTGTTATTGACTGTGAAGAATCTACGATGATTAGATTGCTCTTTTATCCATTTTTTTCGAGTATCATTCACAGTAGACCATGAATATATAGAAAATACTAGATCGAACATAAATTTTATTCGTTATTTGATTTAGTTTATATTTAAAAAACAAATTTGTAATTATAATTTAATTACAATTCGATAATTTTAATATACTTACTAAGATATAAACCTGACATTGGAAAAAACCAAATTTCTGAATAAATAAAAAATGGTGGTTCTGTTCGCGATAAATTTTGCACAAAGGAAAGAACGAATGATATACTTTGATTTATTATACTTATTGTTTGTATGATTAGCCAGGGAATAGTATACGTAGATTTCCTCTATGAACATACATAAAAAATAATAATTTATTAATTCATGATAAGTTGGTAAGTTTAAGCAAAACGTTTATAAAAAAATGAAAATATGTTTCTTAGATATAAAAATCTACAATTGATTCATTTTCTGAATTGATTCATAATTATGCATTGATATTATTTTGAATATATTGAGATTTATTATATAACTAATAATTTTTTATATATACTTACAAAATATGGTGCTATTATCAGATACATATTGGCTATGGAAAACAATGTTGCGAAGAAAAAATATATATACATGGGGAAGATAGCTATGTTTGCTAAAATTTTTATTTTTTAATTAATCACAACATTTGTTAAAAAAAAAGTAAAATATATTTATTTTAAAACTCACTTGAATTGGACGTAATAAAAAGATGCAACCAAATTGAACCAAATGGATTTAAGTATTGAATGAAGATATAAAAGTCAATTTCCGTTTTTGATGATATATATTTTATCGAAAACAAGCTCGTTATAAATCCCAATATTATCTAGAAGAATATTAAAAATATAAAACTGTCCAAAAATTATACTAAATATCAATAAAATTGAATGGATAAAAAAAGATTTTTATTAATTATTATAGCAATTGTAATAAATTTTCGAAACTTCTTTTACAAGAATGTATCCTTCCGTTTGTCAAACTAATAATTATTGAATTATTCGAATATTTCTATTGTATTAAATATAATAGTAAATGCATTTTAAATAATAATTTTGCTCGTAAATTTTTGAATATTTGTAATTTGTTATTGATAAAAACATTCGTGTAATAATCTGATAGATTATTTTACAATATTACATGAGAAAACAAATTTCATAGACAAATTGACCGTTACTTACCATATTGCATATACCGATAATCCTTATGGCTGACAACATTTTAACGTGATATATTTTCTTCATGTTGATTTTTTAATATTTAATATAAAAATACTTGAACATATTAAAATGAGGTTTTTATTTTTCACAAATAAACACGCGTTAAACTTCAAAATTCTATCCAAAATTGATGTATTAAATATTTCTTTAATAAACTTATACTCAATCGTCGATATCGTGCATCACACTGTGTGTCGATAATACTCTTCTAGTTCAAATAAATCGAATATCATCGATTCGATTATCAGTTTGATAATTTAACTGTCATCATATTGAAAAATATATATTCATTTTCAAAATAACGATTAGATATATTAATAATGATACAATTATAAATATAATATAAATAATACAGTAATAATATTATATAATTTCTTTATAAATAATTTTTGTTAAATTTTAAATGAAAGATTAATCATAAATCGAATAAAGATACTCTCGAAGTTTTATGCGTCATAATTTGCGCATGCTCAGTAGTGTCTTTACTGTACAGTAGTATCAAGTACAAGTGTGTGCTTGACATGTGGTTTTAGGTTAGATCTCGTGTTTTTAAATATTTTAAATATTATACTTGTTTTCTATTAATTTTTAACGTAATATTGTTCTTTAAAGTGAGAGTTAAAAAAATAGTTCGAAATGACTGTACAAGACATGGATATTTGCTTAAATATTTCTACAAAACCTGTTGCTAAAGAGGTAAGTAAAAACGTAAAAAGAATATTGTTAATTTATTTTAATGGAATTGTACTTTTTAAATAGAAAATGGGAATAGAAAATGATTCTATTCTTAACTTAATGAGAGAAAAAAAAATTGAGGAAACAAAAAATAAAGTTAAAGTAAGTAATACGTTAAAAAATGTCTCCGTTAAAGAAACAAGTACTAGGAAAAGAATTAAACAAAAATCTTTAGAAGCAATTGTTGCAAAAAAATTGAAGGAAAGTAATCAAAGTCAATCTTCTGTTATACAAAATGAATTAAAAGTTAAACCACAAATAAATAATATACGTAAAGATTCACAACAGAAAATATCTAAAGTAGAAGCATATAAAAATAATAGTGAAACATCTAATAAAATTAATGATATTTCTAATAATCCTATTATTTCTTTTACTAATATTACAAAAGAAAATTATGGTAAAACTATATTGGCAAGAAAAAGAAAGGTTATAGATACAGATTCTAAAAGAACATTGTCTAGTATATTTTCAAGACAATCGGAAGATGTTAGTTTGTTGAATTCATTAAAAAAAATACAAGAAGAACAAAGTGAAAAAAAAGATCAAAAGGAATCTAAAGAAGAATCTAAAAAAATTTCTAGTTCATTAGAGAAAATGAATTTTGATAAGAAAAATAAAAAAAAACAAATAGAAAAATTCAAAACCGACAATGATAATAATATAGAAGATGATAAAAATACACACTTCTCTCATAAATCTTTTGGAAAGATATCTTCTTTATTTGGGCATAATCCAGAAATACCAAATATTGGACAAAGATTAGTAAAACCGATAAATGAACCAATATTTACAGGAACAACTTTTACTGATCTTAATATTCATCCTTTTATGGTTGGTATTTTATATGGTATATATATATGTATAATATATTGATATAATAATATATATTTAACTAAGTATGAAACATTTTATTAGATATCTAATTTAGAACAAAATATGCATATTACTAAAATGACTACAGTTCAGCAAAAAGCAATACCTCAGATATTTTCAAGGAAAGATGTTTTAGTTAGATCTCAAACTGGTTCAGGAAAGACACTAGCTTATGCTTTGCCAATAGTTGAATGTTTGCATAAGATTAGACCAAAATTAAATAGAAATAGTGGGTTAAAGGCTCTTATAGTTGTACCAACTAGAGAATTGGCACTGCAAACTTATGAATGTTTCTTGAAATTAATAAAAGTAAGTTTTTTTTATCACTACAAAATTATTATTAATGATATATAGAGATTTGAATCACATTTTGATTCAAATTATTTTAGCCATTTACATGGATTGTACCTGGATATTTAGCAGGAGGTGAAAAAAGAAAAGCAGAAAAAGCTAGATTGAGGAAAGGATGTAATATTTTAGTCGGTACACCGGGTAGATTGTTAGATCATATACAACGAACAGCAGCTTTAAAATTAAGCGATATTAAGTATTTCGTTTTGGACGAAGCAGATAGAATGTTTGATATGGGATATGAAAAAGATATATCAGGGTATGTTCTCTTAAAATCGTAAAAATCTGTCAATATGATTAAAAAAAAAAAAAAATCTTCTATAATGCAATTTCAGAATAGTGAGTGCTCTGAAAGTATCAACTCCGAGTCAAAATACGGGATACGATGCTATGAAAATATTACGTCAAAATATAAAAAAATTCACAAACGAAGATGTTGAACATTTGGAAAATAATGGTGATTTAGAAGAATCTGAAAATGATGATCAAAAAGAATCAATCGTTAAATCGAATAAGAATAATAATTCAGAATATAAAGATGAAATTGAAGACGTTAAACAAAAACAAATATATCATTCCAGCAGCGATGATGATTCCGACGAAGGTGAGCCTTATGTTAAATCAAAAAAGTCAGATAAACAAAAAATTTGCGCAGCTCTTACGGAGAAGAAAGAGTCCGGTATATTAAAAGATAAAAAGAAAAAAATGGAAGATGATAATAATAGTGAGGATGAATTAAGAACACAAACAATTTTACTTTCTGCAACATTGACGCAAGCGGTTGAAAAATTAGCCGGCCTTGCTATGAATCATCCTGTTTTTATTGATGCTGCGAAAGAAAATTTGGAAACAACTGATAACGATGGGAGTGAACTTAACGAAGATTTAGTAGTTCCACAAAGCGTAAATCAAAGTTATATCGTGACACCTCCGAAATTGAGGTTGGTTACTTTAAGTGCTTATATTACAGGAAAATGTCAGGTAAATTTAATATATCAAATTATTCGTGTGCTCTTTCTCTTCCTATATATTTTTAAGCATTATTTGTACTATCAATAGAGCCATGGTCAACACAAAATATTGATATTTATGGCTACTCAAGATATGATTGATTATCATACAGAAATTTTGTCATCCGTGTTAACGAAACCCATCGATGAAGATGACGATGATTC